AGGGAAAAGCTTCCTAACTACAACTGAAAATACAAAGACAGAAAAAAGAAATTATTGCTACATTTGATTGCAATATAAAAATAAACTCTTGCATGGCCAAAAAAACATGTGCAATGAGAAGAAAAGGAAAAAGATGGATGAGAGTGGGAAAAAAAAAAAAAACTATAGAAGAAGGGGCAAAAAATATGAACAAACACATGCATACATGCCATATGTATGTGCATATATTGTATGTACACACATATATTACATAAATAGCCTTAAACATATGAAAATGCAGTCAGTTCCACTTAAAATAACAAATGCAAATCAAAACTACTTTAACATACGAGTTCTCAAGTCTCAAGTTGGGAATCACTTCAAAACCTGACAACATATTCTCATGACATTGCTCTAGGGGAACCAGCCCTCATACAGTGCTGATAAGAATGCAGACGGGTACACTCCTTGTGGAGTGAATTTGTCAATATCTAACAAAACCAAGTATGCATTTCCCTTTTATTCAAGGAATCCCACTACAATGTGGCCTATAGCCACTGTAGCATGGCCATCCCCCCAGAAGTGGTTTTTCACTCCCCCCCACCCCTCCAGAGAGTTCACACCCTGTATGGGGGGAAAAAAAGACAGAGAAAACCTTCTGGGAAGTCCATGGTATGTACATAAGTGTGTGTGTGTGTGTGTGTGTGTGTGTATATATACATTCTATATTATAAAAAAGCATATATTTAGGTTTTTTTGCACCAAAATAAACTCATATTTTAATTCCAATTTTTTTTAATCTCTGTTGATAAATAGGCAGATAATAAGTAAATATGACAAAATAATGTTAAAATTAGAGATTGTAGTTGAAGGATATACAAGAGTTCTTTGTACTTTTCTTGCAAGTTTTCTGGAAGTTTGAGATTATTAATTTTTACACTAACCGCTGGTCCCGAGATTATTAATTTTTAAACCACAAAAGAAAAAGTCTCATACTTCCAACAGTTACTGCTAAGGAAAAAGTAACATTCATCAATCATTGGCCTAAAAAAGTGAATGAATTCTTTTTCATAACATTCACACAACACCCATCTGCATTTCTAATTTGTAGCTGGTCAGCATATGATAACATTATTTTCTCCTGTTCATTCCCGTTCTCCATCAATTTTAGAGAGTAATAAGGTCATTGGACTGGTAATTTGTAGGTGACCTTGTAATTTTCTATAATGTAGAAATTTTTTGGTGTGCTACAATTAAATGGACTTTCAAAAGGAGCTTATTAAAAAGTGCCCCATTAGCATGGAAGTCTGTGATAGATCCTTTCCGATGTATTTAATGTGTTGTTATGAAATTCAATCACATGGCATGCTTACCTCACTTATTTCACCAACCATAATCTAGTGATAGCTATGGTGAACAGTGACTGAAAGTATTTTAAAATATTACAAATAGGAATTGAGTAATTTTTATATTTAGAAACTTTTTTAAAAAAAAAATCATTATTTTATTTTACTTATTTATTTACTTTACTTTGACCAGAAAGACATGGATAGACAGAGAGGGAAAGTGAGAAAGCAAGCCCCCAGGTGTGGAACTCGAACCACAGTTGGATTTGTGGGAGTTCAGTACCCCAATCTCCATGCCATCTGCTGGCTCTGATTTAGATACCGTTTATACTGGAAGAGTGAATGGCTTGCAAAGAAAGCCTCTACTGTATAGACTGGTAATCATTCTTCTACCTTTTACTGGTTTAATTTCAACAAAATCGAAAGTCTTGTGTTGGTTTATCATTGTAGGTAAGGTCTCATGAGGATCTTCACTGATAATTCGGATGATGGTGATCATAATTAAAATGTATTGAGTGCCAACTCTGTACCCAGATCCATGCAAAATGTTTCTCATCCATTTCCCCCTTTAATCCTTACAACTAAATTGTGGAATACTATTATTGTCTCTTTTTATAGATGAGGCTTAGCAATGTTAAGTGACCTGGTTAACTTTTTAGTTTAGGAAACATAGAGGTAGGGTTGGCCTGGAGAGCCAGCTCTTAGCTGTTGGTTGGAACTGTCTCCATTGTAGATAAAAGACAATAGGAAATACAGAAATTCAGAAAGAAATTGTTTCATCACTGAGACATGCTCTTGTTGAGAAGGGTGCTAATAACAATGCAAGAAATGGAATTAATTTTGGAAAAATCCTTTAAGTTCTCTTACCTACTCCCTTCCACCAAAGAAGCACAGTAGTAAGTTGAGGGATGAGAAGGGCTTAAAGCAGAATGCACAGGGACTCATTCCTCCTGGATGTTTCTGACTTGAATGATACCACCTTAGCTATCTACTACAGGGAGCAGGGGACTAGAAAAGAGTAGATGAAGAAGGAAAGGAAGGAAATTGGGGAATGAGGTTGGAAGAGTGAGGCAGAAGATGAGGAATGTAGGAGGTGCTTTCTGGAATGGTTTTGCCTCCATTTATAATGGGAGAACTGCAGTAATGAGTCCCTCAAGAGCCTACCGCCCTTACTCTCCTCTCTCTTGCCTTTCACTGCCCCAAGTTAATGCCTCCTGGCTCCCACCTTGGAGTGGTTCCTAACAGCTCCAAATCTAACTTCTGTTTTGAGTCACCATATGGAATGTTGTCATCCATGACATGTCTTTGTCAGGCCTTCTTACCCAAGATCATATCTCTGGCACATTTCTTCTAAGTTACCGAAATAATTTTTTGAAAGGAAGAGTCATCATTTCATTGAAGTGTTTCTCAAACAACTGGCTAGTTGAGTAATATTACAGAACTGACTATCAATAACTGAGCATCTTGTCTTTCTAAAATGTGAAGGAAGAGCAATGTTTCTTTGTGGAAACCCCAGTGGATTAGAACCCCAGAAAATAAAAGATGTATCTGTGGAATTTCAGAAATGTTCACTCACTCTCTTTTCTTTGTAGGGACTGGTTAAGTGTGCTGAGCCCACCAATTGTTCCTCCAAGTCGACAGCCAGCTGAGCAGCATCTGGATTCCTCTGGGAGTTTGAGCGCTCAAGGTGGGAATATGAAAAATGCAATGCATAGAAAAATAAAAACTAATTTACTGTAAATAGATAAAATCAGTCACTTTGAAATGCCACTATTTTCAATAAATGCTGATTGTTTAGGCTCACATACCCAAAATGAGGTCATCTATGCCTCATTTTTTAGGGTGATGAGTCCTTGACAACTAAAAAGAATATAAGAGAGAAAGTGTCCTTTATCTTCTGAAGGTTAATGCCAAGACAAGGTATAGTTTAAATCATAGGAGCATGGCTTCGGTGTCAAATTGACCTTCATCTAAATTCCAGTTAGATGTACCAGTTCCCACTGTGTGACTCTTAGGAATTTTGGTTCCCACGTCTGTAGAACACTGACACTAGAGAATGCCCATCTGGGGAGTGGATAGTGCCCATCCACAATCTCCTTGTGGAGATTCAGTGAGGCACTATACCTGAAGCACTGAGAATAGTGCCTACCGAATACTGCTGTTGGCATTGGTATAAAGCAGACCCGGTACTCCAACATCTCTGAGATGTTTCATTAAGGCAGAAATAAGGCCTTTTATTTAAAGCAAAGGCTATCAGGTAGCTGCAGCGGGTATTAGTAATGTAAATGTCAAAAGGAAGCAGGAATCTGGGTTCCCTTTGTGGGTATGAACCCTGAAGATAAACCATTGGTTCTGGTTGTGGGTGGGGAACTTGACTGTCTGGAATATATGGAGGGAGAACTTAAAAGAATCTCTGGTGAAAACAAAGATGGCAGGGGTGGGGCAGAGGGTAACTTGAAGTGCCTAATTGGAGTGACAGATAACCTCAGTCAGGGTGAGACTCTGAGAGGATTTTCTAGATTGAATTTTGAAGATAAAAACTATATCTGAAGCTTGGGGCAGGTGGTGGGGGCGGGTAAAACCAGTATAAGTTTCTTCAACAGAAGTGCCAGCGGGGTGTGTGTGTGTGTGTGTGTGTGTGTGTGTGTGTGTGTGGTTTTTTCTTACAACTGCCCCAGGGAAAAAGTGGAGCATCCCATTTTTCTTCAGGTATGGAGAATTCAGACTGAGAGCTCATACATCTGAGTTGTACCTTTTGGCCGCCCGAGGGATAGAGATGTCTGTGTGATTTACTGTCTGAAATAGATTATGCCCCTCAAATTGGGAATCTTTTTAGAGGTGTACATTTATAATTACTTATGACAGAAAAATAGAATCTTGGCTGTCAAGAGGAGACCTTGCTGTGAGGGAACAAATAATATGTTAAGTGTCCTAAATAAGCCACAGGAACCAACATCATGGTCCTTGAGCAAAGGCACCCAAGATATATTATTAGTGATAAGTGGCTGTAAGGATGTCTTAAAGTCACCATTGCAAAGCCCAGTTCTGACAGCAGAAACTCAATTACGCTGAAGGTAAACAGAACTTGCATCGAGGGCAAATTAGCAAATTAAATTCAGAAGATCGTGGAAATGTGCTAGCCAGTGTTAACCAGGTCAGGTGCCCTTTCTGCCTATCACCTTAGATTTTTATTAGCTGCCCTCTTACCCATATGCTTATATAGTTTGTAACTAATTAGTACCATTGAAACTAGTGTTTCCTACTTGGTTAAAATTTCCATCTTTTTTTTTTTTTTTGAGAGGTTTTTCACTATAGGGCGCGTGCGCTCGCCAGACAGACACAGACAGAGAGACAGAAAGTGAGAAATCACCCCCCAGGGGGGATGGTCATGCCGCAATCACTTCTCCATTCTCCTCTCGGGATCTTGGGCACGCACGCACACACGCCCGGCGTGTTTTAAGCCACCGGGTCCAGGACGTGAACCGCGGTCGACTACGTGGGAGTCCACCGACATAGCCATTACGCTAACTGCTGGTTCCCAAAATTTCCATCTTAATGGAGCATAGTTTTAACAGCAGAGAACCGTTGATGCTTACTGACGTATCAAGATGGTGTTTTCACCTGCAGCCTGGCCCCAGCACATAACCACTATATGTTTCTGTTTCTTGGGTTTTGAACCAGGTAAAATAGATTATCTACTCAAAAAAATAATACATAAAACCAGGAATTAGAAAATTACTTTTCAGGCCAACTGGTGGCATGGTGGTTAAGGTAGCTGGATCCCACATGGCTGATTTGCACGATTCGAGTCCCTGATCTGCTGGCTTGAGAAATACACCGGGCATGTGTGTGTGCACTCCCAAAATCTTAAAAGGAAGGAGAAATGGAGGAGGAGAAGGAGGGCAGAATTCCACTCTGTTCTCTTACCTTACTATCTAACATTGTCCTCACCACCTTGTCGTGGCTCTTAAGTCTTATCTGTTTACTTGCTTGTCATCTTTGTTACCAAGTAGCCAGCCTGTGAGTTGTTAGGAGCAGAGATTTTGTCAGTGTGCTCACGCCCAGATCCCGGGTGCCCTGTGCAGTTCTTGCCATGTATTCTATTCTCTAAGTTCTCATTAGAAGGAAGACAAGAAGAGAGAAACAGAGGGGAGGAAGGTTGGACGTGTTCTTCACCTGGTTATTTCTTTAAAAAAAAAATATTTAATTCCATTTGTTATTTTTTTTTAATTTGGCCAGAGAGAGACAGACAGAGAAAGAGAGAGAGGGAAAGTGAGAAAGCAAGCTGCCAGGTCGAGGACTTGAACCACGGTTGGCCATGTGGGAATCTAGTGCTCTTCACCACCATGCCAGCTGCTGGCCCCATCAACTGGTTATTTCTTACAACAACCTTGGGATAAGTATTCATAGAAATCTGACTGTTATGTTTCCCCTCAATTTCAATTTTTTGGTATATTTCTAAAATTCATCCATAAGAGTATTGAACTTAAATTGAAACATTTTACCAATTAAAAAATTATAGACTAGGCCAGCAGGTGGCATAGAGATTAAGCCACTGGACCCCCACATAGCCAACCACAGTTTGAGCCCTGAACTTGGCAGCTTGAAAATCACACTGGGCTCATGTGCATGCATGCTGAAAATCCCAAGAGGAGAAAGGATTGGGCATGGTCACAGGAAGTAGTGTCTCAGTTTCCCTCTTTCTATCTCTGTCTCTCTCCAGCAAACATATGCGCCCTATGGCAAAAGCCTAAAGAAAAAAAAAGTTATAAATCACTTATGCAGTAGCTCTTAAGCTTCATTTATAAGTAGTGAAAACTTTCTTTTCAAACAAAATCTCATATGGATTCCCAAATTATAAAAGACATAGTAGTAGAACTGTTCTGGCAAAGGAGGCATCGGGGTCTCTAAATCCTGCCCTGGGATTGCTGAATGAATTAAAAACACTAGTGTGATCCAACCCCCTCAGTTTACCTACGGAGGTAAATGACTGGCCCAAGGTCAAATGCCAGTCAGAGACAGAACTAGATTTAGGAAGCAGGCTTCTACCATGTCAGGGCCCTTTCTACAGAACCATTTTACGGGATATGAACGTGGTTGGTGAGGACTTGTTCACAGGAAAAGGAGGGGCTCCCATCTTTATATTTCTAGGATAAAAATAATAATAACAGGGACCAGCAGTTGGCGTAATGGCTATGTCACTGGACTCCCACGTAATCCACCACGGTTCAAGTCCCGGACCCAGTGGCTTAAACTCACGTTGGGCACATGTGTGTGCGTGCTCAAGATCCCAAGAGGAGAATGGAGGAGAAGGGATTGTGGTGTGGCCATCCCCCTAGGGAGTGATTTCTCGCTTTCTGTCTCTGTCTCTCTCTGTCTTTCTGGTGAGCACATGTGCCCTATAGCAAAAACCTCTCCAACAATAATAATAATAATAATAATAACAACAACAACTTATTTCATCTTCCTGTGTTCCAGTCTAGATGTGCCCTTTAATTTTCACAGTACTGAGGTGTGGGTCCTGTCATTATTCCCATCTCCCCCAGGGCACTCTGGGCTTAGAGCAGCAAAGCGTTGTGCTGAACCACCGTGCCCCCCTCAGAGTTGGGGAGGCCAAGATGCATTTGTGCCAGTGGAGGGCTAACTGCATTTTAACAAGGAAAGATAACCTGGCCAGTACATCGTTCTAGAAAACCTGCCCCAAGTTACACAGAAGTAAATGCTTGAGCCAACGGTTCCTGTCCCTGCTTTGTTCAGTAGGAGTTTGTGTCACAGCCACAGTTCCTACTCAGCCGGAATGTCTCTGTGTGTAGGTGCCACCTCCAGGCGCACAGCCTGGTTCCCGGCAGAGGCGACCAGCCACAGGCACATTGTCTTCCGCCCATCCTGCCCTCCGACTGGTTGGCAAAACTCGACTCTTCACGGTTCCTCTGGGCCAAATAATATACTTGCTGAATATCAATGACCTTGGGTACAAGTACTCTAACATTCACTAAAAATGTGTTTTCCTAGGAGCCCATGGGAAGTTAAGAATTCAGAAGTTACTCAGGGAAACTAGCAAACTGACCTCTTGAAAATGAGTCATACTTAGCTCGAAGAATGGTTGTCAATTTGTTTTTGACATTTGTTCCTTTACTGATGTGACCCTTAAATTATTCATGCTTACCAGATCCAAAATGGAATAATAATGCCCTCTCTCTTCTGTCTGTAGACATCTCTTGCCGTTTACTTAGATTTTGAGTAAGAAAGAAATTCAGACGGGTTTTTGAGTTGTCGGTCTCACAGAAACATTGTTGTATCTTTTTTAAGGCAAAGTCGCATTGGATATTTCTTTATGAACATTGATTAATCTCCCATGAGAGAGAAACAAGCAGCAGAGGCATGCTTTTAAACTGTAATATCCAAAGTAAAGAATTTACAGAAGTCTTGTGGCTTCTCACAGCTAACCTAAGAGAGAGGTATCTGGCTAATGCTCTACTCCAACAGAGTAGAGTATCTGTCATGGGTCTCCTGTTTACTGCCGCGTAATTATTTGACGTTTCCATGAAGATCTGAGTCTCAAAGTCATGCCTCGCTGAGTAGCCGAGGTGCCCCCGGTGCTTAGCGGAGCGCCCAGTGCCTCGTAAGTACTCCATATGTGTTTGGATGAGTGAGTGAAACATCTGCCCGTGGAAGCAGGATGACTTG